CCCATTTTTGATAAACCGCATGGTCAGATATGGGCAAACACAAGCAGTCCCATATAGGCTGCCTACATGGGCTCAAGGTAGTTCCCTCATAAGTAATCTCTATATGGGTTCTGAATGTAAAAAAAATATATGGGCCCATTTTGATAAACCGCATGGGTCAGATATGGGCAAACACAAAGCAGTCCCATATAGGCTGCCTACATGGGCCCAAAGTAGTTCCCTCATAGTAATCTCTATATGGGTTCTGAATGTGAAAAATATATGGGGCCCATTTTGATAAACCGCATGGGTCAGATATGGGCAAACACAAGCAGTCCCATATAGGCTGCCTACATGGGCCCAAAGTAGTTCCCTCATAAGTAATCTCTATATGGGTTCTGAATGTGAAAAATATATGGGGCCCATTTTGATAAACCGCATGGGTCAGATATGGGCAAACACAAGCAGTCCCATATAGGCTGCCTACATGGGCCCACAAGGTAGTTCCCTCATAAGTAATCTCTATATGGGTTCTGAATGTAAAAAATATATGGGGCCCATTTGATAAACCGCATGGGTCAGACATGGGCAGACACAAACAGTCCCATATAGGCTGCCTACATGGGCCCAAGGTAGTTCCCTCATAAGTAATCTCTATATGGGTTCTGAATGTAAAAAATATATGGGGCCCATTTTGATAAACCGCATGGGTCAGATATGGGCAAACACAAGCAGTCCCATATAGGCTGCCTACATGGGCCACAAGGTAGTTCCCTCATAAGTAATCTCTATATGGGTTCTGAATGTGAAAAATATATGGGGCCCATTTTGATAAACCGCATGGGTCAGACATGGGCAAACACAAACAGTCCCATTTAGGCTGCCTACATGGGCCCAAGCAAGGTAGTTCCTCTCATAGGTAAATCTCTATGGGTTCTGAATGGGAAAAACATATGGGGCCCACTTTGATAAACCGCATGGGTCAGATATGGGCAAACACAAACAGTCCCATTTAGGCTGCCTACATGGGCCCAAAGTAGTTTCCACATAAGTAATCTCTATATGGGTTCTGAATGTGAAAAATATATGGGGCCCATTTTGATAAACCGCATGGGTCAGACATGGGCAAACACAAACAGTCCCATATAAAGGCTGCCTACATGGGCCCAAAGTAGTTTCCACATAAGTAATCTCTATATGGATCCTTAATGCGGAAATATATACAAGTATAATTGTGAATATAATGAACTATGGAATAAATATAAATTGTGCATCTGTAAATGACTTCATAAACTATACACTTGTAAAAAAAACATATCTGTGCAATCATTAAAACATTTATATACAGTATATTTATGATTTACAGTATAATCCTTGTTAAAATACCACTAACAGTTGACCATATTTAGTAGTGAGGAAATTTCACAAATGGACTTATTCCACAGGTGGAAACCTATCATGGTACCACGCTTGAATTCACTGAGCTCCTGAAAGCAACCTATGTTTTTACACATGTTTGTAGAAGCACCTGCATACCTAGGTGCTTGATTTTATACAACTGTGGCCATGGAAGTGATTGAAACACCCCCATTCAATAACTTGGATGGGTGTCCCAATACTGTTGCAATAGTATTGGTATGTGGATACAGTATAGGCCACGGCTCTTCAAATCCAGTCCTGTGTTGGCGTTCAGCAGATATTAGTTCCAACCCTAATCATTGACACTAAATATTCAAACTCAAAGTGTCAACTTTTAGTGGTTTAATTTTGTTACTGCAAACTTCTGAGTTACTGCAATATGCTTATCTCAATATAGTTATACAAATGGTTCAAAATATCCCGAAAATGGTCACTGTACAATATGAAGAACGGGTTACAGAAGCTACTTATCTATCAAAATATTCTAATGACTTGAGATGGCTAGAATAAATCAAACCCCTAGCATCAGCCAAATGCCCTTATTCAATGGAAATACTCAAGAGTTTTCTGGTCAGTCAGTTAGTGACAATGTAATTCTAGAGATTTTAAATATTGGGGTTAGGGTTAGGGTTTTGATTATTGAAAGAGACTCAGTCCAGATGATGAAATAGCCCAAGTAAAAAAAGTTAGAATGCAACATGCAGTGTTTGAAGGGAAAATCAAAACTAAATTCAAAAATCACATTTGCAGCGAGTACAGAATGCACACAATGTACACAATGTAACATTTTAATGCTAAACAGTTGAATTTTTTATCTGTTTGTTGAATCATGTCATGTCTTCAAGAAATCCATAACATTTAAATTATTATTATTTCTAATTATTAATTTCTAATTATTATTGTAGCATTTTATGATATTTTGATCAAAACACCACTTCAAAAATATAAATTTGTGTTGAAATAGAATCAGTATATTATTAACAATAATAAAAATAATGGATATAATTTCAATCTCAACAAGTGCAGAATAAACTTTTTTTGCTTTGTGCGATTTTGTTTGGGGTTTACAATTTTGTGTGTGTGCCTAAAGTTTAGCTTGCAGGATTACATTTTTATTCACACACTTTCATAAAAACAGTAATCAAATAATATAGCCTACAAATTAAATTAAACACGGATTTCTTAAAAAAAAAAAATCATTACCACTTTTTTTTTTTTTTTTAATCATTACCACTGAAACAATAGAGTGCCGAAGTGATGACGTCACTTTGTAGGACAACCCGGAAGCTAGCGGCGCATGGGTTCCCTCGGTAAAAAAGCAATGCATTTTCCCCATAGACTTTTGGAAAATCGCAAAAAATAAGATCTGTGTTTAACAGAGGGTTGTGACCCTTACACGTTCTGTCTAGCAAGATAATCTTTACAAGTTAATCCAAAATTTATATACATTTTGAAGCATATATAAAGATTTTAAAAAACACAATCAGACACAATAAAGTTTAAAAAAAAAACACACGCAGGTTATAATTGTGTGTTCTATGTCATAGATCAAAACGTGAAAATATTTAGAGGCTCTGTTCACCAGAGACCTTATTTCAGGAGATTTAGCAAAAACCCATTCAAAAAACCCATAGGCTTTAGAGCGAGGGAACTGTAATGCTAAAATGCAAATTCACTTCTGCGTTTTGGCCTACAGAGTGACGTCGTAACTTCGGTTGTTTCAGCTTGTTTGATCATGATTGGTTAATCTGACTGTCATCTATCTAACTGGCCAATGACAACTGTGCGCGCCTTTTTACTGGTCAAGTTTGAAAAATCAAATACATTTGAGTTGATGACGACGGCTGCTCAGCAAGATTACTCGGTCTTTCAATTATTATTTTGAACTAATTTGCGATGTGACATGTAGCCTAAACGAAGGAGAACAGAAGATGTGAACACACAGAAGACGCTCAGACTGGATGCGTGAGATCCTGCAATATTGGCGATCAGGTAAGAGAACATTTTTCTGTCTCCACTATCACTTTAGAAAAATATAAACGTTTAGGTATTACATTCAAATAAGTGGATGAGAGTGTTATAGTTCATGGTTGAATATGCAGATAAACAAAACGTATGTGAATGGAGTTCATTAACTACCCAGAAATGTTCTGTGTAACTTAACGTTAACGTTACATACGAGAGTTTTATAAACGGATAACGGACGTAGGCTACTAAGTTACCTGCAGTTGTGTTTGTAACGTTAACATAACGGGTAGCTAACCATATTTATCTGAAAGCAACGTTAGTGCTTCTGAGTAAGTGTATTTGATTGTGCTAAAGTGGAACTATTGCAAATATACTTTTGGTACACTTAATAGTGGTAACGTTATTACTTTATTTTTTTGTCGTATATATATATATATATATATATATATATATATATAAAATGTTCATTGTGTAATAAAGTCTTTTTAGGTGATGTGTCATTATGTTAATGAAATTGAAGTATAATTAGTATGAAATGTGTTCTAATATATTCTGGTAGAAGTTATTTATTTATTTACTAGGGAAGTAGAATCCAAATGAGTAAAGTGACTGATATATTGTGAAAAGCGCTATATAAATATGATTTGACTGATAAAACGGTCATTTACTCTCTGAAACACTGGAATCTACAGAAGAGTTGAGAAATGTTATTGGTCTAACGTTAAATCTCTTATATTTTAGTAGATGCCCGTTTCTAAATATTTTGACATCACCTCTTAAAAAACTGATAACTGCTAATGATAAGAGATTTGTTTATTTTTTTATTATTTTTATATATCAAGCACTGGAAGAAGATTTTTGGGGGGAGAGCAGGCACCCAACAGAGACAAATCCACCACGGCATGATTATCAACTTCATTATGTAAGTCAGTTTTAACCATTGCTTCTAAACCTTACATTGGGATTAATATATTATGTTGTCAAAAGTATTATACTCATCATCAAAAGTCATATCCTCTACCAGTGACAAATCTGAGTAACTAATTATCTTTATGTCTTTCTTCCTCTAAAGTGACAAAGAAAGGAGAACATGTCACCATCATGAGCCCTTTATTTAGTTCACGGAAGAACATCAAGGGAAAGACCCTCAGACGTGTCATAACAGGATAAATGTGGCTACAGGTAAAATTGTTTGATGGTTTGTTTGATTTTGGAGTAGCAATTTCTTTTTTTAAAGCTTTAATTGATGTGATGTGACATGTGTCCCCAAACTCGGAATTTGTGCTCTTCATTTCATCCATTCAAGTGCACACACACACACAGCAGTGAGTATTAAACACACACAGTGGAGACCGGGGAGCTATTGGGCTATTTTTCATGTTCTCTGAATGTTTTATAATGGCAAATGTTGGTACGATATTGATACGTTTTGTTTTAATATTGTTAAGGACGCATCACCCCACCCCATCCCAGATTGACCAAGGATCCAGATGAGTACTGGCAATTTGGTGGAGGATTGCTCTTTATCTACTACATTGTACTGTCACTTCCGGTATGGATTTATTAACCTTGTTGAGGTGTTTTGATTGTACTTAATTTAATAAATTTTTCAAAATTAGATTTTACATAATTTAATTAGAGTATTTAGCCCATGATTTACTCACCCTCAAGCCATCCTTTGGTGTATATTAGCCCACGTTCTTCTTTCAGACAAATACAATCAGAATTTTATTAATAAACACCCTGACGCTTCCAAGTTTCGTAATGGCAGTGGATTGCAACTATTAGTTTAAAAAAGCTCAAAAAAGTGCATCCATCCATCATAAACTCCACACGGCTCCAGGGGGGTTAATAAAGGCCTTCTGAAGCAAAAATTTTGTTTGAAAAATATCCATATTCAAACTTTTTAAAGTAAAACAACTAGCTTCCAACTAAATGGCCATAAGCAGCCTACTTGCAAACTTATGCAATTGACCTGTGGCTAAGCCACGCCCCCTCCACTCACTTGGACAAACAGTCAACATTCGGGGACAGGCGCTATGGCAGACATTTTACAGGAGGCAATTGGTGATTTTTGGAGACAAAAATATTATATATCATCTCAAAGTCACCTTAAGGGCCTTAACTATGCATTGGAGGGTTATATTAATAATTTTATTGTTGAGAAGGTCGATGAAAAGCTTCAGCTCCAGGCAAAAATGTAATTTACAGGTCACAATGTAAACGTGATATACCGCATATCGTTGCCATCACCGTTTGGTGCTACAGTATTTACATGAATCATTCAGCACAACATTGTTAACATTTGTTATCTCGGTTATTTACAGATACGTTAATTAAGCTAAGTGACATGATGTACAAAGCAACTAGAAGGCTAACTTTAGTTGTTGTTGTGGTCTACCGCGGCGCATGACTTAATCGCATAACTTAATCCAGAGCAGACACTTATCTCTGTTGAGAAGTGGCTTGGGAAAGGGTAAAGAAATACACACCGTCGCCCAGTCTCTCGGGAACCTAGTGTCGGAGTTGTATGTACCCCATGCACACCGTTTGACCATTTTAAACTTAAAATGACAAAAAAACCTAATGAAAACTGACTAACTGCAATGCATTTCAATGGACGTGGAAGCAGAGAATGTCCGAGTGTATTAGGTTAGGTGCGCACTGCTCATCGTGTTTGACTGAATGGCTTAGCCATAGGTCAATTTGTGACGTCAGAAGTAGCGTAGTGCATAATGGTGTAGAGTAAATATCAACTTAAAACCACATAAGTTGCACTTTACACTTAAGTGCAATCTGTATGTTCGCTTGGCCGGAAGCTGGTTATTTTATTTAATAAAGTTTTAAATATGAATATTTGATAATGCTTTAGATTACAGCCTGGAAAGTACTGCGTAATTAAAGCGATTTAACAGCGTAACCTTTGGTAATTATAGTGTACCTATAACATACTTACAATATAAGTATAAAGGAACAATATATTAAGTTTGGGGAATAAGGAGGTAACAACCAGGAGAATTAAACAATTATTTATACTGTAAGTATTAAAGGACTAAAGGGTGTTTATCCTACTATTGTGATAACAATCTTACATTTGGGAGCAATTTCACCAGAAAATTGTACACTGCGTACCTTTTTGAAATAAAGGTGAACCAATACCTACTCTAAAATTACAGGCTTTTAAAAAAAATTACAGGGTACATATGCATTTATAAAGTCATCTTTTTTACATAAGTGCACTGAAACAAAAACTATTGCAACTTTTGCTTAAATATTGGGGAAAGATACACTTGTTTCATGTGGTGGTGCTTGTTACCCCCTTGTTCCATGTAGTTACAGGGTAAGTACAATAAAAATACATACACAGTTTTATATCACTGACTTGGAAACCTTTATTTATTATACAAGCACCACTTACCCTGTAACCACATCAAACAAAATATATGTCCCAGTATTTAAAAAAAATTGCAATAGTCTTAGCTTTTCTTGCCTTGAAACATGTTAGCCAAAACTTAAACATCTGCACTTTTGCTATAATTTTTTTTAAAAATATTAAAGAATTGTATAAATGCCTATATATGTACCCTGTCCTTTAAAAAAAGCCTATACAGTATTGATACACAATTTTTACAAAAAGGTTTGCAGTGTATGTACTCGCTAAATTGCTCCCAAATGTAAGACTGTTGTATCATAATAGTAGAATAAGTAACCCTTATTTCTATAATACTTACAGTATTAATATATATTTTTAATTCTCCTGGTTGTTACCCCATTATTCCCAAAACTTTACCCATATACTTACATGCAAGTCCTTTATAGGTACACTATAATTGCAGAAAGTTACACTGTAAATTCCTCTTAATTACATAGTACATTCCGGGCTGTAATCTAAAGCGTTACCGAATATTTTTCTTACACAAACTCATGGCTTTGCTTCAGAAGGCGTTTAATAACCCCCTCCCACTGTATATGCGCTCTTTTGACTCTGTTGATGCCTTCAAATGCAGACTAAAGTCTCATTTATTTGTTCAGGCTTTTAATTAGGTACCTGTGTTACATGATATGGTCATGTACTGTCTATGCTTTTATTGTGTGTATTTTATGATATTAATGTTTTTGTTGTAAGGCACTTTGTTGCCTTGTACCTGTGAAAGGTGCTATATAAATAAACTTTTACTTACTTACTTAGTTAACCTAACCCTAATATCTGGCCGATTGATCGGAGCATTCCTAATTTTACTTTAAAAGTAATCATAAATCATTATACTTATTATGCATACTTTATAAACTGTTTTTTATTGATTTCCTAAATGCCCTTCCAGTGACATTCCAAAACCGTCACCATTCCTATATAATTTTTTTGCTGTTTTTTTTATTATCCTGAGTAGAAATTGTTATTCTGTCATAAGGTATTGTGACGTGTAAGTAACATGGTTTTTCTAAAATCAAAATCCCTAAAAAAAAAAAAAAAAAAATGTTTTGCAGAGGCTCTTAAGAAGACAACACAGATCAACTGGCAAGGAACTGAGAGGGAACTCTCAAAATAGTCCAGGACAAGAGATGGAGGAGGAGAGTGTCTAGATGCGCAAATGACTGTCTGCAGTGTAAGCTGTACTGATAAATGTACTGTATAGTTGCTGCTTCTTCTAACTGTCACCAATTTATATCCTGTTCAAATGTTCAGTAAAGACTGGGTCAAATACAGGTTCAAAATATGTATTTTAACAAATAGGTATTAAATAGATACTCTTTAATCTGACATAAATCTGCTTCTTTAAATATTGTCCCTGGAATTTCAGAATATAGCATAATATGATGATGAGTAATTTTAATAAAATTGAAAATATTTCAATATCACTGTGTGCTCTAATGCTTTAAAACTTGTTTGTGTGGTGTTGCTACTCATTTAGATGGAGCCCAGATGATCCCTAATTGGGCCACATGCATATGATTCCTAGTTGGGCCCCACCTAAAGCCCTGTGAAATCCTGTATCCTGAATTCCAGCTTTTGCTGGCAAGTTGCTGGGGCCAGCATGGAACCTATGGACAAACCCACTTAAAGCCCATATTTCAGCCCATATAGTAACCTTGTAGTACCCACAAAAAACTAAAGCTGGGACCAAGATAGGTCTTGTGCATGTGGCCCAGTTGGGGCCCACCTGTTTATAAGTGCGATCCTACATGAAACCCACCTGGGCGATTTACATGGCACCATTATGGAACCCACGGACAATCCCATACAGAGCCCACTTTTCATTTCAAAGCCACATGGGACCCACATACAAATGTCGGCTGGGTTAAAGCTGGGCCCGAGATGGGTCTTGTGCATGTTGCCCACTTGGGTCCGGCCTAGTACCAAGTGTAATCCTACATAAAATTCATCTGGGCAATTTACATAGGGCCATTATGTAACCCGTGGACAATCCCAATCAAAGCCCATTTTTTAGCCCATTTCAAACCCACATGGGCCCCACATATAAATATCGGCTGGGTTAAAGCTGGGACCGAGATGGGTCTTGTGCATGTTGCCCACTTGGGTCCGGCCTAGTACCAAGTGCAATCCTACATGAAATTCATCTGGGCAATTAACATGGGGCCATTATGTAACCCGCGGACAATCCCAATCAAAGCCCATTTTTCAGCCCATTTCAAACCCACATGGGCCCCACATATAAATATCGGCTGGGTTAAAGCTGGGACCGAGATGGGTCTTGTGCATGTTGCCCACTTGGGTCCGGCCTAGTACCAAGTGCAATCCTACATGAAATTCATCTGGGCAATTAACATGGGGCCATTATGTAACCCGCGGACAATCCCAATCAAAGCCCATTTTTCAGCCCATTTCAAACCCACATGGGCCCCACATATAAATATCGGCTGGGTTAAAGCTGGGACCGAGATGGGTCTTGTGCATGTTGCCCACTTGGGTCCGGCCTAGTACCAAGTGCAATCCTACATGAAATTCATCTGGGCAATTAACATGGGGCCATTATGTAACCCGCGGACAATCCCAATCAAAGCCCATTTTTCAGCCCATTTCAAACCCACATGGGCCCCACATATAAATATCGGCTGGGTTAAAGCTGGGACCGAGATGGGTCTTGTGCATGTTGCCCACTTGGGTCCGGCCTAGTACCAAGTGCAATCCTACATGAAATTCATCTGGGCAATTAACATGGGGCCATTATGTAACCCGCGGACAATCCCAATCAAAGCCCATTTTTCAGCCCATTTCAAACCCACATGGGCCCCACATATAAATATCGGCTGGGTTAAAGCTGGGACCGAGATGGGTCTTGTGCATGTTGCCCACTTGGGTCCGGCGTAGTACCAAGTGCAATCCAACATGAAATTTATCTGGGCAATTAACATGGGGCCATTATGTAACCCGCGGACAATCCTACATGGGGCCCATTTTTCAGCCCATTTCATACCCATATGGGCCCCACATACAAATGTTGGCTGGGATAGTGTGAGCACGTTCAGGACCAATATATTAGAGAATGGTCGCACTACTTACCTTTCACCCTGCACCAGTTACATGAACCTGAAAGAGGAAGCTCCTTACAGCGGGGAGCCTAGGGGTATTATCCTCGGAGCATGCAAAAACGTCATGTACAAAACCTCAGACAAGAGCCTTGGTTATGATGTGTTCCAAAGAACCGAGAACGATAATAATCTGGCCCCGTCCATTGAGGACACAGAATTCTTAAGGATCATGAATTCAGAGGTTTACAAGGACGAGGGAAACAGTTGGGTCGCCCCATTGCCCTTCAGAGAGCCAAGACAAATACTTCCCAACAATCATGTTCATGCTCTTAATAGATTTCATTCTCTGCAGCTTACTCTTACAAAGAAGTCAGAGATGGAAATACAGTTTGTCTCTTTCATGAAGGAAATTCTGGAGAACGACCATGCTGAACCCGCACCACCACAAAAGGATGGAGAGGAGTGTTGGTTTCTGCCGATCTTTGGGGTTTACCACTCAAAAAAGCCAGATCAAATCATGGTTGTTTTTGACTCCAGCGCCCAACATCATGGCATCTCCCTCAATAACGTCTTGTTAACAGGCCTTGATCTCAGGCCTTGAACAATAACTTGCTGGGAGTCCTCCTTCGATTCCGTAAGGAACCCGTAGCCATCACAGCTGACATCCAACAAATGTTAGAGAGGATCATCGTAACTTTCTTAGGTTCCTCTGGTTCAGAGACAGCGACCCAACAAAGGATGTCATGGAGTAGTGGATAAGGGTACATGTTTTTGGCAATAGCCCTTCTCCGGCCGTTGCCATTTATGGGCTAAGACGAGCTGCTAGCAAGGGTGACAAGGTGCATGGCTCAGATACTCGACAGTACGTGGAAAGACACTTCTATGTGGATGATGGGATGATTGTGTCCCTACCTACTGACGATCAGGCAGTGAGTCTCCTTCAAAGAAGACAAGCATCTTAAGCAGAATTGAACCTTCGTTTGCACAAGATTGCCTCAAATAGTCCAGTTGTTATGCAAGCCTTTCCTCAAGAGGAACACGCTAAGACTATAAAGGATTTAGACCTTGGTGGTGAAGTTCCTCCTATACAGCGGACTCTTGGGTTGTGTTGGGAGACATCAGGCGACACCTTCACCTACGATGTGTCATCTGTCGGCAAACCATTCACAAAACGTGGCGTGCTGTCCACTGTAAACAGTATCTTTGATCCACTCGGCATAGTCAGTCACCATACAAGGCAGAGCTCTACTACGGGAACTCTCGAACCACACCTCAGAATGGGATGATTTACTTCCTGAAGAAAAGAGAGGAGAATGGGAAACATGGCAAGACTCCCTTCAGTACCTGAAGTGACTGCATATTCCTCGTACCTATTCTTCAATCTCCCTCTCTGAGGCAAAACATGTAGAACTGTGCATTTTCTCTGACGTCTCCACTAAAGCAATTGGTGCGGTGGATTTGTCTTGGGTAAAGCCAAACTAGCACCACAACATAAACCTACTATTCCGCGTCTCGAACTCTGTGCTGCAGTATTGGCAGTTGAAATTGCCGACCTGATTCGCCATGAGATGGATTTCAGATTGCATTCTGTAAGATTCTACTGTGATAGCAAGGTAGTTTTAGGGTACATACACATTGAGAAAAGCGTTTTTATATGTATGTGCATAACAGAGTTCAACGAATTCGCCAATATTCAAGGCCAGAGCAATGGGTTTATGTACCGTCTGAGCTCAACCCAGCCGATCATGCTTCTAGAGGAGTTGCTGCATCTCAACTCAATAATTCAACATGGCTCAAGGGACCACCATTCCTCTCCAAACCATATAGATGTTTGCAGGAAGAGCCTGAATCCTACAAACTTATCTGTCCAGAATGCAATGTTGAGATAAGATGTGATGTCCTCAGCTACTGCACACAAATTGGACGTAATGGCTTAGGGACAGAACGATTCGAAAGATTCTTTACCTGGACAACCCTTTTAAGAGCTGTTGCACTTTTGATCCACATCGTTCACACGATCAAATCCAAGAGTGGTTGCGGAGAACATGCAGGGTGGCATTGGTGCAAGAAACTTCGAACATCACAAGAGTATGTCATTTTGAGAGCAACTCAACATGAGAGCTTTCCTATGGAATATGTAGCCCTTTCTGAAAAGAAATCCCTACCACAGAACAGCCCTCTCTTAAAACTTGATCCCATTCTCGACCAAGGGTTGATCAGAATTGGAGGAAGGTTGAAAAATTCTCCTTTAAGTTCCAATGAGAAGAACCCCTTGGTTCTAACCAAGCACAACCACATCTCCATTCTGTTAGTGCGTCACTACCATGAGATGGTAGAACATCAAGGGCGTCATTTTACAGAGGGAGCCTTGAGAAGGACTGGTTTCTAGATTATTGGAGGAAAAAGGATGATTAGCTCAGTCCTACATCACTGCATTACTTGCCGTAAGCTCCATGGGAAAATGGAGGAACAAATTATGGCAGACTTACCTCCTGAGCGCTTAAACATAAATCCCCCGTTTACCTATGTGTGATTGGACGTTTTTGGACCTTGGATGGTCAGAGCGAGACGCGGTGGACATACAGAGAGCAAGCGCTGGGCAATATTGTTTACTTGCATATGAGCATAAGAGCGGTGCATATTGAGGTCCTCGAATCAATGGATGCTTCCAGCTGCATCAACGCTCTGAGGCGATTCTTCGCCATTCAAGGACCCGCAAAGCAGCTAAGGTCTGATTGCGGCACAAACTTTGTGGGAGCAAGTAAAGAGCTAGGACTGAACAAGCTGCATCAGGAGGAAAAAGTTTTCAGATATTTGAGTGAGCAGGGCTGTTCCTGGGAGTTCAACCCTCCTCATTCTTCACACAGAGGAGGTTCTTGGGAAGGAAATTATTGGAGTGGCCCGCAGAATTCTTGACTGTATCCTACTAAGAGAACATACTGCTTTCTCCCATGAGGTCTTGTGCACGCTTATGGCTGAAGTTTCAGCTATCATCAACAGGGAATTTGGTGAGAAGGATCTTCTTCTCAAGCAGTGGAGACAAGTACAGGCCCTTGCAAATGAGTTTTGGCTCCGATGGAAAATGGAGTACCTGTCAACCCTACAGAGTCACAGGAAATGAGACACGCTGCAACTTGCAAGAAGGGTATAATGTCTTATTGAAGGATAACCAAGCTGCACGCAATACATGGCCTATGGCAGTGGTCACTTCTGCTATTTATAGCCAAGATGGAAAGGTACGAACAGTTAGTTTGAGGACCTCTGCTCAAAGCACTTCAAAGTTCTTCACAAGGCCTGTTACAGAAGTCGTCCTACTTTCACTGTCAACTGATTTAAAGTTTGTGCTACATTGTAGCAATATGGAC